CCAGAGACAGCGTAAACTAACAAATGCGAAACGAGCCCCTTGTATTCGTGCTGTCAGCAGTCGGTACTGATTGTTGTCGCTGCTGGTTGGTTATCTTCATCACCTCCGTCTTCTGTATGTTCACCCTGTAGTCCCTCAGCCAGTTTGTTGGTTTTCGCCTATAAGTATATGAGTTTACGTGAATGATATTAGAAACAAATCATTTGCAGAGAAATCCATATCTTCTAGAGTCTTCTTATCGGTGGTCCAGAGTACTCTTGTCTTCTTACTAACCACTCACAGTCTGATACATAATCCAGTCTACTACAATTAAGAATATCATCCGTAATAATAATAAGCAGTTGTGGTGAGATCAGGCTGCTAGCCGATTGGTTGGCACTAATCTACGTTAAGGTCTAGGTCACTAATATGGGCCGTGAACAAGGCTGAGTCAACAACCAATCACAGCGAAGTTAACGTGGCAAAATATGATTCGCAGATAGAGAACTCTGTTTGTCAAGGAATCCCGAAACAACCAATCAGAAGCCTGCGTTTGTCTACCTAAACAACCAATCAGATGACTGCGCTTGTCTATAATAATGTTGTCTGAAATATGTATAAATACGTGTTGATTTTCATAATAAAACGATCTGTTGCCTGGCCCTTGTCTTCTGTTGTTACACAGTCAGATAGTCTTACTTCTACATTCACTTCGAACGCCTGTCTGATTTTTCAATTGTGGATCACCGGACGTGTGACACTGTCATATAGCTGTTGAATGATGAACAAAAGATGGTTGTAACAGAATAAGAAAATTTTCTTCCAAAAATTCTTCAATCAATATATGTGGGTAAAACTTGGGCACTACTGTGGTAGTAAGTAATTCCATATTAGTTTGTTTATTAGATGTATCACACACACAGTCACTGAAACAGTATTATTTACTGATGATGATGCAATTACACACAAGCACACAATAGGATGGGATAAGATGACAGGTTTAAAATCTAATGTAACAGCAGGGTGGAGGGAGAGATTGATGACAACAGAAGCTTTCTTTATCGAATCAACTGACAGGGAATACGTGTATTAGGAATGATTCAACACCTGTCCAGCCAGATATCTGGAAAATCCTACTACCCCAACGACTACAAATAGGAGAGGACATAGGAAACTATAAAACTCAAGTTTCGAAGTAGTGTGATTATAACTGATGATGAAATGATTATGAATAGCAATAAATTTCGTTCGAAACTTTGTCATCCAGTAAATAATAATACTGTTTCAGTGACTGTGTGTGATACATCTAATAAACAAACTAATATGGAATTCATCAATCGGCCTGTACATTCATGAATACATATATGAAAGAAATGTGTGGAAAAGTCTTAGAAATGTTTGCAGTAGGGGTTAAAGTGAAATTCTTTGCATACCTTTTGTTCTGAGTCAAGCATACGCCTTTAACACCTTTGAGGTTTCAGTAGCGTTGGTACTGTTGCAACGGCTTTAGGTTGTTCACAGCTCAGTCAATCTTCCTTCTTTTCCAGACTTAATTTCAGCTAGTAAACTAGGCGGGGCTTAGCAGTACGTCAGTTGGACCACTGACACACCTAACAATTAGGGGTAAACATAAGAAGGTCTTGGGTTCGAACCCTGGCAGTGGATGAGTACTGCCAATGATTCCCAAACTAGGATGAAACCGCTGTCCCTGCTGGTGGTTTTTAATGGTTCTCTAACTGATATGAATCCGTGATCAACTCAAAAAATAAACTACCCTTACAAACCGATCATAGAAAAATAAGAAAATAACCAGGAAGTTTGAATAATAAACCATGATTCAGGAATATCGATTTGTTTCTGAAAATAAACCGGTTATAATGGCCGTGGTAATGACAACGATTTGACATGCTTCTTTTGGATACATAGAATTGGTTTGAATTTATAGATCGTTAATGCCTCTGTCATGCTTAGATATCTTGATGTCATTTTGATCGGATCTTTTATAACACTATGAAAAATTTTTTGTCTGAAGCTGAGTTTCCTAAGTATTCAAGATATTCTGTCGTTGAAATAAAAACATCCTTCCACTCTTCCTTAGCTATGCAGGCTGGATATTGTTAATAAAAAAAAACATGCGTAGGAAGCCCTACCGTACAAATTAAAATCAAAGTTCCGAATTCTTATTTACCCATTTAGAAAAAAGAGATTGAGTGGAGAAATGCTCATTCCTTTTCACTTAGCAGTTCCTCATCATCATCATCGGCTGGCTGGCTCTACACTACTATATAGTTGCTTTTTTTTACTTCAGATGTTTTACCAATCAAGTGGTTATTTTAGTTAATCAGTTTCAGGTGTGGGGGAGGGTGGGGAAAATTAAGAGATACCTGAGTTTTGAAGGAGGGAATTATTATTATATCATTTAATTCCTAGAGGAACATAGGGCTTCAGCTGAGCATCTCCATTGCCTTCGGTTCTCTGCCAACGTTTCCACCCCATTCCAAGTCCGTCCACATGCTTTCATCTCCTCTTCACATGACCTCCTCTAAGTCACCCTTGCACTGACGACCAATCCACCGCTTCCCTTTCGGGTTCCACTCGAGCAATGGCTTGTCTAGTGATGTCACCTGATGGTTCCCTCAGAGTATGGCCAATCCATCTGCATTTCTTCCTGCCTATTTGTTTCACAATCGGTTCCTGGTTGGTTCGCTCATTGCCAGAGATCCCTGTTGCTGATCTTTTCTGGCCATCCATCTGATCTTGAATAGTATTGCACGAAGACAACTGTTAATGAAGGTCTGAAGTTTGTTTGAGATGCTCATTATGATGCGCCAAATCTCCGATCCACGTAGTGAGTAGCACTGACTTCACATTGGAGTTGAAAATCCGGATCTTATTTTTGATGCTGAGTAGTTCTGTTGACCTCCATACAGACTTGACGTGAGTAATGAAAGCTCTCCTTGCTTTTCCGATTCTGGCTTTGATATCTTCGTCAGTTCCGTCCGCCTGTAGTTGAAACGATGCTTCCCGGGGAGGGAGGTAGGTAAAGGAGGTTGTTTCTTTCAGATTTCTCCCATTTATGCTGACTGTTGTCTGTTGTTGTTGTTTGTGTTGGTGTTGGCCAGGAATCTTCATCACCTCTGTTTTCTCTGTGTTCACCTGCAGTAGTCCTTGCTATCCATGATGCTTTTTCTGACAACTTGTTGCTTTTCACTTTCACATCTTTCAATCTGTGGGAAATCAGACATATATCACATTGGCGAAGTCCAGATCCTCCAAGTTTTTGTGTGGGTCCATTTTACGCCTGTTTCCTTCATTGCCTGCTGTTTGTCGCATTATCCAATCTACTGCAATCAGGAACATCATTGGCGATAATAGACAACCTTGCCTCACTCCCGTCCTCATTTGGAAGGCTTCCATAAGTTTCCCGTTGTGGATTACTTGGCATACAGCATTGTCGCATAACTGTTGGATGAGAAGTATAATTGTCTATGGCACCCGTAGTAGCGAATTAGTTGCCAAATGACCTCTCGATCGACGCTGTCGAAGGCCTTTTCAAAGTTGACGATGTTGAGATGACTGCCATTCCAAGCAGTTGGTTGAGTGATATACGGTAATTAACTTTAAAAGCTTTTTTAGAGTTGACTTGATATCCAGTCATTATACACGTTGGTGGCACAGTTGTTAGGACTCTCACCGACCTTGCACATGGTCCGGGGTTCGATCCCCTGCCGACGCACACCTAATTCCTATTGTTGGCCTGCAAAATTTGGGCTACCGATATCCATGCTGAAAATTCCATACTTGTACCAAAATACGGTGCAGCATCAAGCTGTAATCAAAATAAAAATAAAAAAAATAAATCAACGAGATGAACTAGTATTGAGCTGCATATAACTTTATTCGGACCATTGCCGAACCGATTGGAGGTGTTCAGAGATTTGACGATGAACTTGCCTGATCGTATGCCCTATGGAACTAGCTCCACACGAGCAGTTAAACTGGTAAATACACATGGAAGAGGTGAAACAGGGCAGTCTGTCTTTATTTCTTCAATTAAGTATTGGTTGGGTAGTGAATACACAGCATAGCTTAGCTGCGTTGAAGGTCGTTTTAAAGGTTCTTCTCAGACATTGCGATAAGTTCTTGCTATTGATATCACCTGTGAAAAGATTTTTTCCCCTCCCACTGCAACTATCTTTCGACTTAGTTAATTTTTGACAATTCTGCCTAATTCTATTAACGTGTTTGTTTGTTATGTAATTCTTCTGAGTTATTCTATTCTTCTTAGTAATCATTAGCTTACAAATTTCTTGATTATGTAATAACTTGTTGCTAACCCTTACAGATCAACTGATCTTGAACTCTGTAATTAATTGATATTCACCCTTCCTTCCTTCCTTCCTTCAAAACTCAGATATCTTGTTATTAACATCTAATAGTTGATTGACGTTTTGAAGACTTTTAACCTTTAATCCCAACCTCCCTTATACCTAAAACTGATTAACTAAAATAACCACTTGACTGGTCAAACATTTTGATGTAAAAAAAGCAACTATATATTAGTGTGTAGCGGTAAATAATTCCCCAAAATTACTGACCACAGCAATCACTCATTGGATGCTGACCACCACTGTTTAAGTCGACTTGTTTAGCTGAAGGCTTCCGGTCAAGCATCCCCGCCATTTGGTACCTCGTCGTGTCACGTGCACGATCACTAGCTAGCTAAGCGTTCGTCTGAAGGCTTGCTTTGGTCCCGAAATATATCACTTAGTTTGGACGATCAAATATTGGCTTTGCTTTGTTTTCGGTACGCGAGAATAATTTAGAGGTTGTGTAAGATAATTCCGTCAACCCCTCTAAAAGTGTAGAGCCAGACAGCCAGGCGATGAGGATGAGGAATTGCTAATTGAAAACGAATGTGCATTTCTTCACTCAATCTCTTGTTTTTGTAAAATTAGAATACCTCATAAATGTTATTCCGCTTTATTTTGCTCTATTCTTTTCTTCTGTCTTTCTTTCAGGTTTTGGACCGTTCCTTTATGGATGCTTATCTGTTTAAATTATGTTCACAATTGGTATATTGAAACATTTATACGTATATGGGAAGAATTAATACATCTTACTGGATTTATTGTCATGATGGTAAGAGGAGACTGTATACAGAATTTTCGTATATTCGAAAGTGTTAAGCTTAAAGAAGTAGACGTTAGGGGAGTGTACTAATTCTCCCCGATTTGTGGTACACTGAAAGTACTGAAAGCAGGTGCTGGTTGATACGACCTGCTTGCAGTAGACAATACGAATGATTCAGTATTCAATGCTAGATACAAAATTGTGCATCCATAGTACAACGCTGGAATGGTCACCAACCACGACTCACGTGGTCAGGGGTTCGATCCCTTGCCGACCCACTCATCACTCCCTTCGCTAAGCTAGTAATAAGACTGGTAAAGAGAAAAGCTTGGGCATGAGGCTGGCTAGCAACCCCTTCTAGTAAAAATAAACACCACTGCTACAGAAACTTCAAACCTCTAGCTTGCAGCCCCATGTTCCACTGAATACGTAAAGGAATAAAAAAAATGAAGACACAAACTTCCAGACATCGTAGGGGATTCCACTGAAATTTCGGATTTTAAAGGTGAAGTAATCGCAAGTGGTTGATTCTAGAGGGAAGAAATAGACAAGATGCATAAACTAGCACCCAAATTTAGTCTAAAATTAAGAAAGCAGCCTTTTGGGTGATAGCTAATACTTCCGCAAAGATTCTCGTTTTCGGAACACACCACTGTGCGTCGGTGGCACAGTGGTTAGGACTCTCGCCGACCATGCACATGGTCCGAGGTTCGAACCCCCGCCGACGCACACCTGATATCTATGGTCGGCCTGCAAAATTTGGGCTACCGATATCCATGCTGAAAATTCCATACTTGTACCAAAAATACAGTGTGGAATCAAGCTGTAAATCAAAAATAAAATAAAATAAAAAAACATCGAAAAAAAACCAGCAAACGGTATTCTTTTTGATAAGTTCCACTTCTGACTCTACAATTATATATATATATATATATCTGTCTGTCTGTCTGTTTTCGACATAGAACTTTGCACAAATGTGCGGCAGTTCAAGTCGCCACATTCCGTGTAGCACGAGAAGCAAGAGAAGAAAGTACAAGAAAAGCATAATAGAAACAGTGAGCATATATATATATATATATGTTTATATACACAGAATATTCTAGAATAGTCGTCATTAACAATATTGGTGTTTTTAAATACTATCAATTTGTTGAGATTGCAGTAATGGGATTACAGTTCACTAAAAATGCATAAATTATAGTACACATGCAAACATAATAGCAAATAGAATATCGAATAAAGTTAAGGAAATTTCTACAACAAATTCAGGATCATTAAAATGTTGATGACCATGGTAAGTAAGAACAGTGTCTGAACCAACTTCTTGTTTTGCATGCATAGGTTAGGTTTCTTAATGCAGATTCCAATAGCGTCAGCAACATGGAGGCAGGAATTGTGGGAAGTTTTGGTGGTTTAGGTTTCATCGATTTTGTGACCGAACGTTCCGTGTAGCCATTTTCGAGAAGAATTCTCTTCGGAGTGTTTAGTTGCTCTTCCATAGTTTCAGGGTTGCAAATGCTGTGGATTCTGTAGCTCAGTGTGAACGGAACAGTTTTCGTTTTGTATATTGGGGCAATCAACTGTTGAATTTAGTAAGTTACACGTTCCATGTTGGCTTTCTGTAACTAGATCTTCAGTTTCTAGTGGATCACTGTTGAGTAGTAGGTTATTGACTGGTTATCTGATAGACTGATTAATAATAATTAGCAAACATTTGTGAATAAAAAATATTGAGAAACATGAAATTAAGAAGACGATAGTCGGAGTGATTGCACTGGTTTCTTAAAGATGCAGTTAATGGACTTATCACCATGTATACCTCAGTAAAAAATAGAACAGGGATACCCATACGACTTATGTTCGTAGTTTAAGAGCGGATTCATTTTTGGAAGATTTATATAAACTTCAGATAACTCACACATTGAAAACATTTATTTCTTGATACGAATTTAAAACAAGCAATAAAGGTTAATAAAGCAGGATTTAATGAATTCTACCATGGTAATACGTTTTTCCTATTATTTGAACAAAGCAAGAACTACAGTTTTAGCAAAATAAAATGGTACCATCTTTTATTTTGTTGCCTTCTCGTCAGCTGCTTACATTAAGGGGAATAAATGTATGAAATTACTTATTATTATTCTTGATTCATTTAAAACTATCCTTCATCAGTAAGATTATCTTAACTCACTTCGACACTATTATTATTATTATAACTATTACTACTGATATTAGTCTGTTTGCAATTCTCGTTATATTCTCTAATGACTAATTGTTTATCTAGGTGATGTAATTGAAGCGTAATGCAATTTATCTTAATTCTGATCTCTCATACTCTCTCTTCCCTTTTCTATTTGAATGAACATGACCTGGAAAACATTCTCACGTGTCTTTTTGCATGACTAATTCAATATAGTTTGTTTACTTATCAGTCTTATGTATCGCCCAATGTAATTTCAAAAGTATATATATCCGTGTATGTAGAGTATTCAGCTGACGAGTTCCACCGAAATTTGATGAATTCGTTAAATTTAGCTTTATTAACCTTTTTTTGCTTGTTTTAAACTCACATATTATTTGGCACACTCTAACTAGGCAATAGTAATAATCGACATTGGAAAGACAGATTTATTGGTATTAGATGGTTGGAAGAGATCGGCGCGAAGCCTTGACTCGACTTAGGTTTCGTGCTAGTTGGCAATCATCCGTGGGATATGAGTTTCTTCAAGGTTGGCAGATACGCATTGCTGATGAGTGCCAACTAGCATGAAACATTGGTCAAGTCAAGGCTTCCCACCGATGGTCTCCAATCATCTATTGTCAGCAGTTCAAAGTGCACAGTGGCTGTGAGCCACATACCATGGTCACCACATTGTGAAATTGACTGATAGAATTCAGTCTGCACCAAAGAAAGGACTAGACACACATTACACTAGTTACTGACTAGTGTCCAATCAAAAACAGATTTTGAAACATAATGTCATGCATCGCAGAGCTGGTTTAAACAAGGCACTTTGTAAGTCTTTACTAGGCGTAAAAAATCGTTTTGAGTGAAATGACTTAAATCGACCTGACTGTTCTTCACTGTCATCATTCTGATCACAACACCTCGACATGGCTGGTGAAAATGGCATTATTTTGATGTAACAAATCCTTTCGCAGTATATTTTGTATAATTTTTCATACTACTTAGTAGTCAAAATAAGTAACACGACGTTTTAACAAAAAGCATTTGTAGTCAAGTGTTGGTTTGTAGGGATTTGATTGGTTACAGGATTTCAGCATGAGCTGACATTAGTTAGAGAACCATCGGAAAACCACCAAGAAGTACTGGACAGCTGTTTCTTTCTACTTTGGGACTCTTCAGCAGTACTTGTCCATCTGTGTTCGAATCCCGGTGGGTGTGTACTGATGAAGAGTCCCAAACTAGGACGAAACAGCTGTCCAGTACTCCCAGGTGGTTTTCCAATGGTTCCACTGTCAGCTCATGATGAAAAACCATTTGAATTTTGTGACCATTTAAACTTGTCTATGCAAAATAAATGATTAGTTCAAATTAATTAGTTGATCACTCGTATTAACATGTTATTCAAAGAGATGAATATTTGAAATGCAGAGGGAATATAGGTCCCCTAGAGGCTGTTCTATCCCTCTGACACTTAGTCCCACAAAGAAACACAATATCCAAGTTATTGGCTTATGACAGTTGGTTGCTTCTATCATATAACAGGGAATTTAAATCAAGCGTCATGAGTGGACTCAGCATTCCCCACTCACACACAGTGAACATAATTTCTGTGATTGGTTGGAAGATTTCATCAAGAGCTGACATCAGTTGGAGAGCCATTGGAAAACCTGGGGCACTGAACAGCGGTTTCGTCCTAGTTTGGGACTCTTCACAAACGGATTGGGTCGGGTCCCAGGAGCTGAATGATCTAGGAGCTGGATAGCCTAGTAAATATAAGTCCTGGGTTCGAACCCTGTTGCTGTGTGCGTACTAATGAAGAGTCTTACACTAGGACGAAACAACTTGCTGTCCAGTACTTTCTGCAGATTTTCCAATAGTTCTCTTACTGATATCAGCTCACGATGAAACCCTCCAACCAATCAAACGAAAACTCCTACAAAACTAATACTTGAAAATAATTTCTTTACTTCATACTTGCAGCTTTCTTCATTCCTTTGTGTTCTGATTAGAACATCCAGATTTAAGCTTTGAAGTATCATTAGCAGTGTTGTTTTTCTCACTTTACACTTCCAACTTTTCGGACATACTATAGATTAGGTGATGTTTGTTAGTGATTCCATCTGGGACCAAATTCGAACCATCCCCTCTGGCTATCGAACACTCTACTAATGAACCACCGATGCACAAGGAGTTATTCATTAGGGCACCAGGCTATTACGGAGAAAGAAAAGTAGGGAATTCTGGTGACGATGCCAGTCCTTTGACCAATATATATATATATATATAATCGCCGAAACAAATGAGTAGTTAAAAGACTTAGAGGAGATTATACCAAGTAAATCAGGCTGATTATGGAGTAAAATAGTGAATACAAAAAGTGTAAGGATGTTAAATAAGACACTTTTCTTTGAAATTCTATAAAAATAACTCATTTTCTCATAAGAGTGTCAGTGTTCATCTAAATGACTGTCACTTACCGTTAGGAGCCACTGAATATTCCAGTGGCAATTAAATCAGCGTTAGAAATCGAAAGTTAGTTAGTTAGAGTTTAGTTTTAGGTACTTGTCTGGACATTATAATTTCCGCTTGAGGGTAATACGCACTTCCCTTCGTTTGGATTACTACTATTTAACTTGGCTGTATTCTTTCTATTTTTGAATGAGGATATTGTATGTAATTCTGTTTCTTAACTGGCCAGAAATGAATCTGCTTCTGTTTACATTTCCCTGGAAACAGTTTTAATAATTATCAAGTGTTGGTTTGCAGCGATTTGATTGGTTACAGGTCTCATCACGAGCCAATATCAGTTAGAGAACCATTC